GCCCCCCCCCCCGGCCTGCAAGGCATTTGGGCAGTGTCCCCTTTCATTCGTATTTATCGCTCCACGCTAACAAAAATTCATGAAAAATATCAATTATCTTTATTCTCGTTTTAGTAGGTTAGAGGGTAGTTCCATATCCATAAAGAACAACAGGTGAAGTTATTTTAATCTTTATTTACATATTTTACAGGTAATTTACATCCCTCTTCTTAACAGCTGCTTCAGAAGGGGTTGGCATGGAGTAGGCCGATGTCCTTGGAGTACGCTGTGTTATCAGTCAGGATTTCAGTGCCCGCAGAAACGGGGTTGGCTGCAGCAGACACACCCTTGAAGTTATTAGTGACTGAATAGTGAGCCTGAACTGGAAACTCAGGGTAGAAAGCCTGAAGTAGGGTTGGATCGACGAATTCCACAGGCTGGATTTCGATACCCGGGTTCAGCAACTGGTCTGCAGCAATACTGCCTGTCTGGAAGAGAGGAGAGGCAACGTAAGGAATTCCTGGAGTAGGAACTACGTAATAAGGAGAGAGAGACTCGCCATATGCTGCTAAGGGAGAAGGGGGATAGGGAACCGCTGGCACACTGTAGTACGGATTTGCATATTCGAGAGGCAGACCATAGAATGGGTATCTCACTTCTGCAGGGGCACTGTAGGGAGGGTATGGGTATTCCGCAGGGGTCGGGTAGTAAGGGTAGATGAGTTCGATGGGGGACAGCGGTGCGGGCCCGGATATGGCTGCAGCCACATCTCTGATACCCTCGGCGTTGTCTGCCCCGGTGGCAGTATGCTGGCGGATCTTGGCTTCATCTACGGCGTATGAGTTCCAGTTGTAGTAGCGGCCAGCGTTGAGATCCTGAGAAGAGCTTGTGGCTCTGTTCTGGTTTGGAGGTAACAGCTGCGCCGAAACTGCCGCAAGGGCGGCGCACACAGTCAAAATTGTCTGCAAATGAGACCAAAAATTATATCAGTCCCTCGTGTTCCTGTAACAGATGTACCATAGTGTTGTATTCTGTAGACCTATAACAAATTGTGCATTATTACGAACTTCTGGGATGTGATGTGTAGTTTGATAGGCAGGTACGAGTATATAAAAGTTACAATGAAATTTCTACCCTGAGGATGGAGGCAGCAGTTTCACACAAACTTCCATACTTATGTACCGAATCAAGTGCTAGAGCCTCGTCCCTCAAGACCGCAGTCTTCATATTCACAGCCGTGTGATACCAACTCTATATGAGGAATTGTTAAAACCGAAGATTTGGTGAAAGCTCTGAGGCTTCTGGTCTAGTCGGTTGGTGACCGGTTCGAATCTCGGTTTGGGCACCGATTATCTTGATTGTGATTTCTTTTTCCGGCTTACCTCAGTGGCTCCAGGCAAGTTCCGGAAGAGTATATCAAAATAGGCCACGACTCTTTACTTCTAGATTTTTCCAAATTCATTGTTCACTGATCACTCTACCCTTCCACGCTACAGGCTACTGGAAGCGTCAATAAATAAGCAGTAAATGTAGAGTTGCCCCTGTGCTTAACTAATTAAGCACTACGCCATGAAGGCGTATGGGGGAGTAGATGTATAGATCCAGGATTTCTTGACCTCTACACTAGTTGGAGATGAGTGGTCAGCTTCACACACCTGCCGCTTTACCCCTGGAGAAAGAGCCCCCTTACCCATTTAATAGGAGGCTGGGTGGGCCCCAGGACCTGTCTGGATGACGTGGAGAAGAGAAACACTTGCCCTTACCGGGACTCGAATTCCGACCCGTGGTCGTCCAGCCCGTAGCCAGCCGCTATACCGACTACGCTATCTCGGAAAACATATCGGGAAGCTAATAGTCGCTTAGCCGATTAAGAAATTTCCCGCCTTTTATGGAGCCCAAAGTTTCATTACCGTGTTCACAAGAGTCCTCCATTGGACCCTGTCCTAAGCCAACTGAATCCAGTCCACATGGTCAATTCCTGTTACCCATTTAGTGATAATTTATCCTTTCATCTATGATAAATCTCCCAAAATTATGCCTTCTCTTCGGTTTTTCTGACTGAAAAATTATATGAATTTATCTTCCCCTTGTTTGTTACACTGCCCTACATATGCTCTTTGGCTAAGTCACGTTATACAGGAAAGAAAAGAACTGCTCCCAAAAGTCTCTTAATTCAGTCTTATATCACAAGTGCCAGGCTGAGCGGTCAGTTTGCAGCATATGCACTTACAGATGCGAGAAAAACACTTACCACGTTCGTCATTTCAGGACAAAGTGCACTGTAGTTGTGCTGTCTTTAAACAAGGAGAAATTTCATTTTATATCAAATACTGAAATATCGTTTACTTTAAAGACACGCCAGTTTCACTTCAAGGATTCATGATAGTAGCTGTACTTTGATACGTGTTTCATAAACTGTCTTTAATTTTTTATTTGCATTTGAATTGTCACAAGTTTTCGTATTCGTCTAAAGAAAGTGGCATTAACTGAACATGAGCGCGTGAGCATAGTATAAACACACGCGGGAAAAGCATCGGAGAAAAACTAAAAGCATTGTGTAGGTTTTATTATTCGAACATATTTATCGTTTTAGGCCGCGTTCTCTTTCTGTAGGAGCATCCATCTGTCTGTGAGACTTAAGTTTATGAAACACCGTAGGTCAGCAAAAATTACGACGAAGTCATGACTTTTCATATATATATATATAGGAAGACAGAGAGATGCAAAATCATTCTCACTCGTTCAGCAGCAAACGTGAGGGACATGGCGTTCGGAGTAAGTTTATTTGATTTTACATTTTCTTGACAATATATTTGAAACACTTAACTCAGATATTTGTAGGTATTTCTTGCAGGCTAATTAAGATTTCAAATCGAATTATAGAACACTGAGTTATGAAAATTATATGAGGCATTGTTAATCTCAACGATGGCACTTTTTCGAAAATTTTTGGAATTGCATCCACACTTGAATGTAGGTGTTTATCTCTGATTATACTAGAAATCATTTTGGGAACTTTAGAAAAGAAGCCACAATCTTGGATTGATGATAAAATACAGCGTGAAACTTTAGCCTTAGTGTTATATTACGAGACATCTGGCCTTGTAATAAATTTGAACTTGGAGTAACAAAGAGAAATAAAGAAGAAAAAGTCAGAAAAAGAGAAATGTGAAAGACAGAAGAGCCGGTCACGGTAGCCGAGCGGTCTAAGGCATGTACTGTCTTCGCTCGCTTGGAAACCGGGATCGTGGGTTCGAATCCCACTCAGGGCATGGGTGTTTAGTTTGTGTGTGTGCGTTTTTCTGTGTTTGTGTACAGGTAGAAGCCTTGCGACGAGCTGATCACCCGCCCAAGGAGTCCTACCGAATGTGTAAGATCTAGAAAAACCGAAGTGAACGGAGAAGTTCATGGAGGTAGGCCTAGGCCCACTTGGGCTGTAGTGCCAGGGGAGGGGGGTGAAGACAGGGGGGGAAAAGAATTGAGCACGGATGCCAACCAACATTTACTCTGTAATTATCCAAGTGCCGTGACAGAGACGAGCCCCAAGCTTAACCATACAGATTGTGATAGTGTGCTGCCTGTTCAGGGCTATAGCACACCTCAGTGGGCGGTGACAGATCAGTCGGCCATATGGAGCAATGATGGAATGACGAGTGGCAAGGGAAAACCGAAGATACTCGGAGAAAAATTTGCTCCAGTGCCACTTCGTCTATCAGGAATAATTCGAAGGAGATGCAGACCTTATTTGTTTATATATTATTTATTCAGAGAAGATAAAAGAGGTCTTTAATTTTAATGTAATCTGAATAGAAGTATGAAACGTAATATTGAAAAACAGAGGAATGGAAAATTTTGATCATGGTACTAAAGAAAACGTGCACTAGACAAGGATCGAATTTTAAGCGATGATGGAGCTTAATCAAATTCTGCATCACTCCACTACTTTGTAAGAACGTAATCAGCTTACAGTTTGTAGTAAGATTGAACAGTTTCTTTAATCAGAAGTAAACTGCTCTTGTGCTGGAGAAATATAGACATATCCCAAACTCACAACAAATATGGGGGGAAAGAGACTGAGAATTTTCTTATGGAATATTACGTCCCTATAACATTATCTCGAACACAACGTGAAGCAGATGATTTATATACGAGTAATGTATACTTTGCATTCTAGTTTGTTCGCCGGTAACACAATAATGAACCTTTGGTATCATAAAAGGCGGGAAATTAATCGACCGTTAGATTATCAAGAAAATTTGTGATGTATGGCGTTAGTTAGACATAATGATAAATGTATATAGCAATAGTAATTGGTTTACACTATTTTTTATTCTCCTTATCCAAGCAATTTTGCCTCCATTACGTTTATTCTACAGCAGTTGCCTATATTTTCCCTGCTCCGCCACATTTTGACCCTTTAGAGTTCTAATTCACATTCCATTAGACCACCGAGTTTAAACTGTTCATACAGTTTTTCGTTATTGCAGTTTTATCCTTTATAACTACTTGTAACCTACTGTCCTCTTCAGAAGATATCAGTATTTCTTTTTTATTGCTAGTGGGGTGGGACTAAGTCCCTTGTACTGGGCCACTTCTGGCCTATTGTACCAGCCCCAGATGATAGGTGAGAGTGATTATGGAGCAATTGGTGGAATGAAGATTGGCAGGGGAAACCGAAGTACGCGGAGAAAAACTCCCCCAGCGCCACTTTGTCCACCACAAATCCCACTTGACCACACCCGGGCTCAAACCCAGGCCGCCGCCGTGGGAAGCCAGCGACTAACCGCTTGAGCTATGGCGCGGCCTAGATATAAGTAACTTTTGATTTATTTCTCGGGCTCTCCTTTATATTCAGATGAAAAGTATTTCAACGGAAGCAGATGTCCATTCGTTTATTCATCAGTAATCTGTCAAGACGACAGGTCCACTGTCTCTTCCAAAACAGTTCCTCCACTTGATGCGATCTAGAGCTTTCTCCTTCAAATGAAAATATCCTCTTCTGTCCCAAAGGTCATCCAGCATCTTCTTACGTCTTCTTCCTCGTCTTCTGGTCGTTTCTATCCGCCCCTCTATCTTTCCTTCACTAACTTCTTTTAGAAGGCAGTTACCGCGTAAGATATGACCAATCCAATTAGCTTTCCGTTTTCTTATTTCGTGTAGGATATTCTCTGCTCACTGACTCTAAATAACACTTCTTCATTTCTCACATAATCGGTCCAACTGATCTCCATCGTCCTCCAACACCACATTTGGAAGCTTTCCAGGTGTTTCTGATCTACTGCCCTAAGTGTCCAAGTTTCAGCCCCATACAAAGCAATGCTCCATATTTTTAAAATTATTTGTATTATTTTCTATGTGTATATGTCTTCACATTCGTGCTTTAGGTGGTGTCGTCATTTCTGTGTACCCTGGCAATCGCGTCTTGTGTTCCGCTCCTCCCGAGCTACAACACTGCAACCAGCTTAGCAGAGAAGGCAACATCTGGGAACTATTACAATCAGGACTCATACGCGAAGGACGTTTCCAGGATCCGTCATGTGTCCACAACTCTACTAAACAAGGCCGATTCTGCCAATGACTTCGCTATAGCTTTGTCCCAACCGCTTCCGGTAATTGATCCTGCTGCTATTGTTGACCCTGTAATTCCATACTTTGGTGCTCCTATTGTGGAACCATCAGTTCCAATAGTCGATCCTATTGTTCCGTACATTCGTAATCCTATAGTTGACCCATTAATTCCTTATGATCCTCGAGTTATTTCACCTCTGGGTCCTGTTGTCGAACCTGTAGTCCCATACCAGATTCCTTTTTATGGCGTGGATCCTTACTTACCTGCAGTCGAACCCGTACTCCCATACGTAGGTTCTCCTTATGGACCAGTCATTGAACCTCTCGCTGCATACAATTTTCCAGGTCTCTATGGGCTCGGCAGACCTCTCTGAGTCTCCGATTCTCCTTCGTCATATAAATAACTTATAAAATTATGGTTCTCTTTAAATACTTTAAAGGTTTGAACATTACGATTTACTGGAATGTAAGGCTGTGTAGTTGTTTCCATTTTGAGATAGACGTGCGAACTAAGATGACCCTCATCTATCATCTGGGGCTGGTATAATAGGCCAGAAGTGGCCGCAGTACCAAGTGCCCTCAGTCCCACCCCACCAAAAAAGAAAAAAAAAAAAAAAAGATGACTGTTAAGCTGGAGTCAATTTCTTCCCCAAAGTTAGTAGGCCTGTGTACCAAACTACACGACTTTACACCCCAGAAGGCTGTAATGTCCATGGTTACCGCTGTGAGAACCTCAGATCTCATTTCAATGCTTTACTTACAAGAGTTTCACCCCCTTCTCTTGTGTTGTCATATTTGTTTGATATCATTTATAATACATGGAACGTATCATCGCTTTAGTTCTTAATGGCTCTACAGCCAACTCTGCGGAGTAGAGGGAACAAGGACATAAAGTTTGAAACATGAATAGTTGATCAGAGGAAACATAACAAAAGAGATTCTTTCTAATTTGTATTATGATACACGTGGTTCAATCATGGATACAAAGCCCTGATGCCCAAAGGATGTAAAAGCATTTATAGCCAAAAAATAATTAAAATCTGAAATAGAACCATTACGAACTAAGGCAACGACACGTTTAGACCACATTGTGTTAATAAGTTTCAATTTTATATCGGAGAAAATTTCAAAAGACTTAAGTTGGGATATTTGTGGACGTATTTCAGTGATGTCAATCAATATGTATTTATACTGAAACAATAAATTATATGCTGGGGATATGGTGTTTTTACTAGTCTTAGACATTCCTAATATCACCCAACGAAGCGAAGACAAAGGAGGTGGATTAAGCTGGTCGTGCTTTGCCAGTCTTCTTATCACCAAGGGAACCAGTCACTTTTAGTGCACCAACACCAACAGTAAGATTCTTTTCCGAAAATTATGCGAATATTTTAGCTCGCTCAGTACACAAGATAAAGTCTTGGTAATTGTCTCGCCTTCTTTTTGATGGCGAATATCACTAAATCCCCCTCAATATATGCTGGTATTTCTTCAGTGAATTGAAGAATACAGACTGTGTTATGAAAAGTTCACCGCCGTGGAACGGAATCCCCTACTGTACCCAAGTCTGAGCCATTTGAATTCAGTCCATACAAATACACTGGTTCTCTAAGTCCAGTTTTAATTTTGTCCTGCCATTACTTCTCTGTGTCCCAAATGTTATTCTCATATAAAACTATACTCTAGAAATTATTTATGCACTTTCTGTTTTTCCATAACATGTAGGAAAGGAATAAGCCCTCTGTGAAATATAATTCAATCTGATATAAAATCAAGACGTAGGTGGTCGAACAATATTAAAATGGATCTTAGAGAGGTAGGATGGGATTTTATCGATTGGATTTGTCTAGCTCAGGATAGGGGCCAGTGGGGGCTCTTGTGAACACGGCAATGAACATTCTGGTTCCTTAAAATGCTGGGAAATTATTGAGAAGCTTCAGAATTGGCGGCTTCTCCAGAAGGACTCAGCTCCATGAGTAAGTAAGTGATATAAAATCCTTCGTAATATATTAAATTAATCCTCTTTAATGCTTTTCTATGAACCCCAGATAAACCGGGAAATGGTGGAATAATTATTCGTATCATTGATATGAACTGTTAAAAGACGTCAACACAAATAAATCAGTTGGCTAAGTATCAATACAGTCTTCATAATTTTCCACCAACACACATGTGGTTCGACGTGGAAACGCAAGTACTCTATCTGAAATCCAATTCCTTTGCCTTCAAATAAAGATTTTCTTTAACCTTGATAAAACAGGCCAATTCAAAGCATTATTTAACAGCAAGAAATATATTAAGGGAGGCTATAAATAGACGATAATGGAGTTATATTTTATACATGATTAAAAATGCAAATCGAGAAGATCGGTTCGTCATTCTATAAAAGGTAAAATGTAAAGCTATCCCTGTAACATGCCATGAAGGCCCATAGGGTTGTGGGACATCGAGGATCCCACATCGTCTAGACAATCGGCCTTCACTTCCTCTTACAGGGATAGCTTTACCTAAGGGAGGAAACCAAGAATGAAAGCCCTGATCCTCCAAGACAGAGGGTTTTGCAACAGGCTGGTACCATGCTCAAGTAAAAAAGTCATTCATAATCCTCAGATATGATTTATATTTCAGCACGGAACGGGCTAACAATCTCAGTCCTTGCAGATGATATGATAGTACGTGTATTTACGCAAAGGGGTTTGCGTCGCAACCATATGATTTTGAAGAAGCCCAAAGCACTGAGTATTATCAAAGCTTGTCCACTTAGGTCCCATGGTAATCGTTGGTTCTCATGACCCTCATGACCAGGGGTATGCAACTCAATGCTATTGGCGGGCAACACAGCC